TCAATCTTCGCTCAGTGAATATTGAGGGTAGGTGGGTGGGACAGGGGTCTCGTTGAGAGGAAAAATTTCTATGGACATCATGCTTGTGTCCGGGTCAATTTTGCATTATTTTTTGCAGCCTACTCCTGAAGGGAATTTCACTGCTGAGGTAAGAAATGGTCTCAGAAGTTCTTGGTCCATAGAGACTTATCAGGAAGTCCTCGCCTCCAGCAGGGGAGTTTCATCAAGAACTTGGACACTTCCGATTTTATTCACCGGAGTTGGTACACCGATGGGCGGACGATGGGAGGGGAGGGGGTTAACCACCTTCTTACTGACCGAAATTTTCGATCTGACTGTCGACGGAGATCCGGGAAATACCACCCAGAGAGGTGAAGAAATAGAGTAAACCTCACCATCTGTAGATGGAACGTGCTTCCGATGATATTCTCCGTATCAGCCCGCAATTTTGCGTCAGCATACCGCTCAGCTGCGAACATCAGCGCTAAGCAACATTGGATCGACGGGAACAACGTAGCCAATTTGTGACCTGAAATTCATACTAATATCTTATACTAAATCAATATACTGAATCAATAATTTTGCATGATCTTTATTTCAAAAAAGGTCGTCGATATTTTGCCGCAATGACCGACCACGATTCGATGACGTAGCAGCTAGCTGCTGTTGCATTGAGCAAAGATCGTATCTTGGCCGGTATCGCAACACATAACCAATCCATGACGAAAGACCCGTTTATGCAGATTATACGCGAACATTTCCCAGGTGAAGGCCTAGATGTTTCACTGTTTGCTGAAGATGCGGATCACAACAAGCGAGATGGGCGCTGTTTGGCGACGTCGAATGGGGGTGGGGGAAGAAGGAAGGGAAACATTCCGGCACTTTCACACGGGTTGGATATGGGGGGGTGCTTGGCGGGTTGGGGTGGGGCTAGGGGGGTGGTGCTTCACTATTCGCGTTTATATAAGTCTTCACCGTCACAGTGAAACAAGTTGTGAAACTGGTACAAGCGTTCCAGTGCCGCCAAAAAAAGATACGGACTGGGAAGGTCTTGTGAGCCTCAGAATGACGTCTCGTCAATATGGAGACAGAATCATCCGATGGCATTAAGTCCCCTCACTGGACTGCAAACTCAAAATTAAACGCCCATCTCGCGAATGGCTCGTTCGGTGCACTTGATAGATTTGTGCACTCCAGAAGAAAGGTCATTGCAGAGAGGAGGGAGGTAGTTGTATTTTTGTTTCTGAGTTCAGAAATGGCACGTCTTGGAGTTTTCCGCGTTTTTCCTCAATTTTATAAGCCCTATATGCCCTCACTCTCTCCTTCCCCTGCCTCCGCTCGGCGCAGTTTTTTTTTTGGAAAATGGGGGAACTTCCAAAAAAAAAACGTCGGAAAGAAAAGAGAAAAAGTGGTACGAAGTTGGCAAATTCAAGGAAGATAGTAGATGGGATGGGGACGAAGGTAAACGGCAGGACATGCCTTGTCCTTACTAGTTGACTCTTCGAGTACTGTGCGAACTTTGGTCCGTCAAATCGATCATTTATTGGTACTACGTCCTACAGCCGTTCATTTGACGCAAAGTCGATAATCAACCAATTGTACTGTCTGCTTGCAGGCTTAAAATATTACTGAATCATTCCCTAATCTAGAGATGTGATCTGGCAATGATCACTCAACTCGAAGCAGAAGAAAGTAATGGATCGATTATCGATTCTCTTTCGAAACGGAATACCCGTGAAGTTAACTGTGTGGGATGTGATGTAGGCTGCCATGACCCAATTGATTTGATGCCTAAGTGCTTCGCGAGTCAAATATCCAGCAAGTAGAGCTGCGAAATGCGAACTGCAAGCCCACTGCCATTGGTGCCCCCCATCCGCCGCCATAAAATTTCAAATCTTCGCGAACTGCTGACAGTACCCTATTAAATAGCGGAACGCATCATGCCTAAGTGTTAAGTCTATGCTGACAACGGTCTGATAAATAAATGTAATCGAAAAAACATCACCATCACATCAGTCTATTCGCATCATTTATGCGCCGATAACAAAATTTCAAATGTTCCAATATTCCAGAACATTCCCTTTTATTACTACAGTAATCCATTAATTATCGAGCATCGAAGCTCACCGATAGATGCTTAGCTTATAATCTAACCTAGCATGCTCTACTGCCCACTACACCGACTTACCAGACTGTGATGGTTATCGTACCAGATATCACTACTTGTGTGGTGACCTCACACGCCAATGACCAACACGTTGCGTTACCTAACGCTCTCCGACCCCCTTCCAACGGAAAAACGTCGTCGTTCGGTTGGTAAATAACGAAAAAAGAGGCGCACAAGCCAATTACGTTCAAGCCAACAAAGAAAGCGCACGGCCGCAGTTAGCTCAGTGAAGGGCAAGGAACCATTTCACATGGAAAGATTTTGGAGGCGCAGTTTTGGCAACGTGGAGTGGGGGCATTTGCAATTCAATCCGCTCTTTCAACATAGCTTCCGGTTTACAAGTCTCACCCTGATGAAACCTGCAAACTCTTGTGAAGCTGGAGCAAACTCGCCCAGCCACCATGGCAAAACCAGTCAACTCTTGTAAGCTCATGAAACAACTCTCTAAACAGCTCTACACGTCGATGAGAAGCAGCAAAAGTGAAAAATGCCCCCCTCCGTCCCGAACTGCCCCGAATTTGAATACTCGGCAAGTCAACACAAACCTACTGAATTCAGGACCCCTTACAACGGCACACAAAGCTGTTCTTATGCCCAGCTTCAACTTCTTAATCAAACAGTCCCTTGCTCTCAATAACAAAGGTCTAGTTCTGTGAGGTGCCTGGACGAACTCCTGTCACCCCGTAGACCCGTCAAAACTCTTCATTTAATGGATATATAATGAACCGACATCTGTGTTCGATCTGAACAACCATGTCATTCGGTGAGAGTCTGTCAGGGCGATGACTCACCAGCGGAACTTCAAATTTTACGAGGAACTTCTTTAGCGTTGCGGTGAGCTCAAAAGGTATCGCTGGGCCGACAACAGTTTTCCGACAACCGACGACTCGGCGTTATGATTTAACATCATACAAGTGTCACGTCCAGTGATAAACATCCCATAAGAGCGACATCGACAACACGCAGAGGGCCAACGCGCCACGATGTGTCCTGATTCGGCTGTCGCAGGCTCTCTGTAAATCACGACAACCATATCTGACGGCACGCGCCGCCGCCGTGACTTATCCGTCGCCGATAAAACACACTTCCGATGCGCGGATCAGTTGGCCGGCGATGCGCCAGATCCGTCTCTCGATACCCCCCGAATCCCGTTCGATCAAGACACTCGGACTGAAATGCGTAATTTTTTTTGGTTATTGTAATACTTTTGCTCCCAAATCATTTCGATGTGTCCGATTCGTGTTTTGTCCGTTAAATGGATTCTTATCGCCTACGAATTTGGTTCTTCGCAGCCAAGACCTGTGACTAAACTCCAGTAGTTCTCAAGTGCACGTCTCAAGTGCAGTGACGAAAAAGAGCCCCGTATCAGCGCTCAGTGCCCATGAAAAGGGATGCCCGGCTGATACATGGTTCTTTTTCGCCGCTAGACTTGAGACTCACCATGGCTGAGATAAGCTCGAATAAAGTGGTAAGGGAAAATCCACTGACCACCCAAAAACCACTAATCGGGAACTTTTGACACATAAATTTCCCTCCTAAGGGTGTTCCAGGCTAACATAGCCTATTGAGGGCAATGAACTCGACGGGAGCCAACCAGACGGACAGCATGTGCACGATGGCGGTTTGGCGATGCGCGAATTCTACCAGCAACAGCTGTCGACACCGCGGGGTTCCTTCTAAATACGATTCACGCCGATTCAGCTGCGTAAATCCACAAATACACGCGCCCTCGTCCCACAAAAGCCGAGTCGAGTTGAACACAAGCGTTTTCCAGAGTTTCCCATTGAATTCCGGCCACTACTGCGCCGATTTCCGCCGCTGTGTCGACGTCTTTAGTCCGCAATCACACCACAAAACTCATGTTTATGCATCAGGCGCATGCGTTCCCACTACGTTCGTACGGTAACCTAAACAACCATCTCGGAAGTTTCTACGCAAACATCACCACAAAAGGCACATTCGCCGCTTACGCGCACTCTTCACCAAAGTGATTGATGAGATGGGGAAATGCAGCAGCACATGCACAAATATCTCAGGTTACTTCGTCCCACGATCGGGCCTTAGTCGTTCAAAACTTCTGTACATTAACCCACTTAAGCACCACTAAACAAGCAAATCATAATGCACTCGGGAGGGTAGACATGACCCTCAATAACTGCCATAACCTGTGTTCTATTGGCATTAATGACGAGTTTCATGTTTTAGGACATCAATACTGACCCATAAAGGCTTGATGCTCTGTCACCTCCAAGTTTCCACCACGTTACCTTCACTCTAAACCCGCTACTTCTCAAAATCCCCCAGCTTACCAGAATATAAATGAAATCAGCAGGAAAGCTACTATAAAACAGATAGTTTGTTTACTCCCTGAGCTTCCAGGTACCCCTTACTTCCTCACTTCGAGGACTTGAAGCCATATTTGGGTCGAATAATGTGGTCTATTTCCTAGCCGTTTCCATAGCACCGTAGACAAAGTTCCGTCTGGGACGAAACTTTGTCTACGGTGCTATGTTGGCCCTCTTAACATGAGTTTCATATCTGCTTGGAGCGAAAACGCCTGGTCTTCGCGCCACAGGGCCAGGTTCCCCTGCTAATTTTGGCTTCGACGCCCGTAGCGTATCAGGGGTTCTCGCGCCAAATGATTAAGGTACTCGTGTAAGAAAGTCAGAAATTATAGGGGACTGAGTTCGAGTCAACTCTACCTTCATGGAAAATCAGGTGAAAATTCAGCCTGAATTTCGAATAGAAGGTCAATGAAGGAATAAATTACTCGCCAAGCGGATCGACTAACTCACGCTCCTAAGCTATGAGCTTGGATAATTATCCAGCATTCAGATAAGGTTCCCTCCGGTTCTAAATAAGGCCCTGAATGAAACGGCCTTGGCCCTCGAAAAAGGGTACATGGATTTTCAGATCCAAAAGTGTATTGTGTTGTACAGTCACCCTTTTTCAAGAATTTTGCATCCAAAAAACCATGTACCCTCTTTTCGGGGTTGGGCCGCTCCAATTTAGGGCCTTATTTGTGACCACAGGGAGCATTATTTGAATCATGGGTAACGTTGTCCACGCGGATTGTTTGGAATCCGCTCAATACTCAATTTTTGCGATGATTTGCTCAAAACGAAGTGCGGCTGATACAGTTTACCCTTCGCTGCCCTAGTATTCGGATTTCAGGCCAAATTTTTCCAGACTCCTGGGCCCTTGGATGTACTTTGGTCAGCGTCGACACTTTCACACCTCTTATTCGACCCGAAACAATCGAAGACCACACCACGGGCGACCTCTCTGGCCATTAACTAAACATCGGACAGGACACAGAGGGCTCTACTTGGCAGTTAATTTAAACCACCCAGGTCAACAACTGTTTCACACGGTACAATTGTTTATTCGACCGCGAAAAGTCTGTCTGCAGGTGATAAACTGCACTCGCAGCGGGGGGTTCCTTCGCCATTCGCGGCACTAGATAAATGGAAGCCATAGCGAAGCAATGCCAACACACGACTAC